CTGATTGGCATTGTAAAGATCATTATGCGATAATCTCAAATCTTTGTCGCGTACATCGCGTACATAATATGGTATCGTTAAGTACTCTGTACCAGCAATCTTAACCACATAATTTATAACTGAAGTACATTCTATTATGTCACAGAAAATACAAAACAATATAGATTGTGAACGACATCTTGCTTTGACGAATCGTTTTCTAGTTCATCTATACGAAACATTTATGGTTACTTCAAGAAAAAGGCTTTCAACTAATATCTTCAATGTTACATTATATATATTCTTAATACTGAGATAATCAATTTTAATCAAGTTTTTGTATTATTTTTGAGTTTAAACTGTTTAAATCAACTATCTACTCTCCTTCCAATCAAAGCTTACTGTTTCAATTACATTTTATGGTTAAAGGTATAATGTTTTTGTTATTATTAGATGATACAGAATCAGAACTCACGAATCATACTAATCGTTTATACTTCGCTTACAAAAAGCTTCCATCTTTATGACATTCACTCAAACATGCCACGTAATTTTGGCGAACGCAAATATATTATTTACCTTTTACTTAGACTGGATAGAGTCACATACTCATTCTGCGAAAATGATAAAATCATCACAATGCAGATATTCGGACGGTATTTATAGCACATGGTCTCTCTGATAATGCTAGTAGATGATGATATTGTTAATGATACAAGAAAGGCATTCCGCACGGACCTCTTGATTTTGATAATGATACTGCGGAATCACCTAGATTGTGATTTAAATGTTGCATCTAAAGTAAAGGTGTCCAGCATCCAGGAAATCAATGAGCGTTATACATGCAGTATATATATTTTTTGATTGCAGAATTCCAACATTAATGACACTATTTTATCTCTTTAGAAACGAGGCTAACTCCTTATGCATTAAATATGCTTCCTAATGGTCGTTTTCTTTCGTCCGAGCTCGTCTTTGTTGTCATCCCGATGATTAATCGGCAGAGGTACAAACAGAAAGACCTCATTTAATTATCTGACGATGAACTTCCTGCTTGTAAAGGTAGGCCATTAAGTTTCGTTTAGTCATCGAGCGGCAAACTGGTGGAAATTTGCATCATACTTTAACGCTATATATAACTTTAATAATATTATTTATTTACTACTTTAGCCAAATTACGAAGTTTAGAGCTCAAACCATATTCCTTTCAGACTCTGTTTATGATTTACCCACATGTTCATGCCGGTTCATCTGAACGGTGAACGATGCTGGAAGTGCGGCAGGAGATAATCACTTAGTCATCTGACGGTGACCT